TGTGACTGTGCCTCTGACTTGCATCTAATGCTTGTTCCGCGAAAGCTTTGCGGATACCACTTGACGGTTAGCACTTGGCGATTGACATTCGCCTACGGACTACTTGTGTTCCGTGGTTGACTTGTCGCAGGCCATTTGTGCCTGATCGACAGGTACTTCATGTGCGTGCGCGCAACATGGCAAACGACGTGGGCTGTGCATGGCTGTCGACAACGAACCTCGGAAGGTTTGAGTCAAGTCTCAGTGCTTCAGTGTCTCAAGAGGATGAACGTCAGGGCCGCGTTCTGAGAAACCGGGGCTGGATTCTTCCAAGGGCTGCATGAATCTCTCCGCCAGCCGGAGGAGTGAAAATGCAAATGCAAAGCTCAGACCCCCTCAGCAAGGCACGGTTGACGGCAGCCGGCAGTTCGAGAGTCGAGGAACCGAATGATTCGGACAGGTTGAGTGCCAGGGAATCCCTTCTGCGATGGGCGCGCACAGTCTCTCGAAGGATTGACAACTGTCGGCACATCTGGTGCTGGCGGGCTGTACAGGTTTTGGTAAGAGATTGACGGCCGGGTTGACAGCGGACTGTGCTGCTGTCAGGCGATTTAGTTGCGACCCCCTGACTTTGTGCTCTGGGATGGAAGTCCGGGCGTTGATTGGCAAACGGCAGACGGAACAATTCTCGAGGAAAAGAAAGGCATCAGGAGGTCGAGGACCGAGGACGCGACGTTGCGGCAGGCACATGGATGCGAGGCCTCTCTGTGTGCGCTGGCAACGGCCAAACAGTAAGCCCGTGTAAGGCGTCCAAGGGCGAGACATGTGCGCAGAGCTCACTGAGGTCAGGATTGTGTCTTGGGTACCCGTTTTGTGCAATGAGGGTAAGTCCGTACGGGCGCAAAGCTTGTGTAAGAGAGCTGGCTGACCACGGAAGCTACCCATACTTTGTCAGGTAAGATCCGTACTCGTCTTGTTCTCGAGATTGCGCGCAGGGTGCTTGCGGTGGACGTGGTCCGTGACGAGTGCAATTGACCAGGTCAACACGAGGCACGCCGCAGCGAGGGGAGACTGGAGTATTCGCACCGCACCGTACCGTAGATAGCCATAGGAATTGGCACGAGTAAACAAGACGACACGATAACGGCGAGTGACGGCGGGCGACGAGGACTGCGATCAGCGCAGCCAGGAAATTGCGGGCTGTCGGTTGGAGAGGATCCTATTCGACGGTGATGCTGGAGGATGGTTGACGGCCGGCCAGCTTGGAGGACCAACGCGGGTTAGTGGGCGAATTTCTGAAGGTCCCCTTCCCCCCTTCCCCTGGGGACTTGCTCGACCGGGACCCCTGGAAAGAACAGCTTCTTAGCGTCTTTCCGGTGCAAATGGCTCCCCCCACTTCTCGCTCCCCAAAGGGCAGCGGCGGGTCCACGGCGTCCCAACTGAGGACATCCCCAGCCCGTCCCTCCAAGTCTTCCCGGATGTCTTGAATCCTCCCTGTTGGTGCTAGCGAAGCAGGGTTCATCGTGGGCGCAATTAGAGTGCCTACACTTTACAGAGTGAGAAAAATCACTTGCCTGCCAGAAGGCAGAACCTGAGGCGCCGAGATCGTGGCGGACGAGCGATAATCTATCTGGGTTGATCCCATCGGCGCCCGTTTCACCGTGGGTTTTTGTTTCTTGCTAAAATCTGCGGCTGTTGATCCGTACGTGGATACCTGTACCTGCGATGCCGTCCGGCGATTCACACGATTCGCATCACCCTCTTCACAGTTACACTGCAGTTCCTTCCCTACGAGGAAAAGTGGAGAGGGCTGACGAAAAGATGCCTGATTTTAGGAGGAGGTAGGCACGATGCACGGAGGTACATCCGTACTCGCTGTTGCCCGTTGTTTTTAATCAGAGAGCAGAATGTAGAAGGAAGGAGGAGCTCTCTCGAGTCTCCTGTCGAGTCTCGACAACGAGTCGTCCCTCACCCGAATTGCACAAAGACGGAAAGAGCGGACTGCCCACGTGTTGTGGGAAGACGGACTCGCGCCTGCCCGTTGAATATGCAACTGCAAGTGCGTCCTTCCTTGCTCCTTCTGAAAACCCCCAATCGGCGTCTTTGTTGTTGCTGCTGAAAAGACCCTTCCTGCGGCCGGTTTTCTTTTTCTCCCAATGATCGGCCTGACATGACTCCAGCTGGTTTCCGTCTTTGGCCAGTGTAAGAAGAGCTAGCAGAACTCTGCAGCGGCAAGTCTTCGTGCGCCATCCGGCGAACTGCTGCTGCCACTGCTACTGCTAACTTAGCGTGCCTTGAATTCCAATGCCGCAGCAGCAAGTTTTTCTGCTCGCAATCTCTTCGCCCCTTGGCTCTCGTGGTCAGTGGCTTGCGTGGGATGAAGTTTTGAAAGCATACTTCGCTACGTAAAGTAGAAACGATGCCGTGCTCCGGGCTGTACGATGGGGCACACCAGCCTCAGAGATGGAGAGGGGGCCGCTGGGGCCGAACAAGCTCATATCGCCTTATTAAATATAATCAAAAGCCGGCTGCAAGACCTCGCGGTTTTGGACGACAGATGTAACGGCGCCATCAACAGAAAACAACAGCCGGCCTGGGCCACGACGACCGCCTCGCACTTGCCCCCGCCCTTTCATTTGCTCTTGGTCTGACAGCCTCGTGCACGCGTGTCGGTCCAACTCGGATGCAGGTCGTGTCCTTGGATTTTAGCAATTGCTGGTCTTGGCCTTTTGTTGGACGACCTACGAGTAGGTATACATACGTAAGGTAAGCAATGGAGAAACAGGAGTCCTCTTGGGGCTGGACCGTTGCCGTTGGCCGCCGCCTCCTCTTGTTGGATGATTTGATCTAAATGGTCGCCTGTGCCTGGACCTAATTTATCCCCTTGCCATCCGGTTGTGTCTCTTGTCTCCTCCCATTTGACAACCTGGCTCGACTACGTACCTCTCTCTGTGCCCGACCTAATCTAGCTAATCTCGTAGACCAGGGCTCATGATCCCATCACATTGCATCTGCGGCCTGGCTGTTGCCAATGCTGAAAAGCCTACCTAGCACAAGCAGCTGCTCCTGCGCTCCAGGCACAGGCATAGGCTCAGCTTGCACTTCACTTCCCTTCTTAGTGCACGTCGTCTCCATCACGCTCACCTGCCTGCGCTGGCCCGTGTCCGTGTCGTTGCATGTGGAGTTGCGCCCAACTAAATCGTACATAACCTGTGTGATCACTCTGCCTCCATGGATCATGTCCCCATTCCCACTTTGAGAGTCGTTCACCCCGGCCTTACCCTACCTACCTTAGTGCTGTCCATCCCATGCTCCTCACCCTGGCCCGTCCCATTGTTCCCATCCCATCTCAGCCTGTCCCATGCTTGAAATGACTGAATAGCCTGGCGCCGCGCACCCGGGTCTTCACTCTCTCCTTTGCGCCTCGACTCGTACCTCTCGACACCCTCAAGGAGCTCTTCTTCCTTCTCTCACTCTCCTTCGAGTCGAGCCGAGTACTGCCCTCCGTGCGCTGCCATTGATCCTCCAATTGGCCTCGGATGTAGCTGTCTGTCTCGTCCCTCCTCATTGTTGGGATACACGTCCTACCTGCTGCTGCTGCACCACCGATTCTCGCGCCCCCGAGCCCATTCCAAGTTGCCACTTCACTGTTGGCACTTGTTGTACTCCGTCGAGTCCCTTTTCCCTTTTTTCGCCATTGCCCGTCTTTCAGCCCGACGGCGCGCCGTTGCTTTCCCAACAGCAACTTGTTTCTAAAATTTCCGATACACCATCGACCCTCCAATCTACCGCTCTCTGTAAGTCATTCTGTTTTGTCTCAGAAGAGCTTGGGTTCTTGCGGCCGATCGCCGCCGCGGGAGAAGCTTCAGAAGAAGAAAGAGGGAAGGAGGTCCGGGAGGAAGAGGCTGACCACAATTCCCCCCCCCCTCCAGACCATACCAAACACACCAAAACCACCACCAATTCAAGCCTCTCCGCCTTATCGCTCATTTCTCCAGACCAACGTTTCTTCTCAACTAAAACCCACCATTTATTTATAAAAGTAATTTGTACATCGCCTCCCGCGCCCATTCGAACCGAACCGAGGTCCTTTTGCTCGTCCACTGCCGCCCTTCCTTCCCGCAGTCGCATTTCTCACCTTAACCTCCACCAAACTCAATTTCAAACGACATGTCGACTTATTAGAGATCGATAACAAAACGGCCGCCGACTCATTACGACTTTGCGAGACGTTGTCATCCGTTCTTACGACTGCCGGTCCTTCGATTTCTCCTTTGTCTGTGACGTTGATTTCGGGCTTCGAAAGCCAACCAGTTTCACACTTGATTTCTGTCCCTATATCTCTCCGTTCTTAAGGTGGGCATCCCTTCCCCCAAACAGCTCCCGAACATCCCTCCCCGGTTCCGTTATACCAACTTATACCACATGGGTTCCAAGGATATTATGCTAAGTCGACTCTTTTATCTTCCAGAAACGGCACACTTGAGCGAACCTCTCCCTATTTCTTCTGTCTAATTCGGCTTGAGCCGTCACCTATCACCTTTTCAAAAAGCAAACCGCTGCTGCGCCCGTGACGCAACAGTAGCACCTTCGCCAACAGCGTCTTTCTCTGGTGAGTTTCACCAACTGCAGTTCATGCATCTTCCTTGCCGCAGCTCTCGGCGTCTCCCCCCTACGATGTGCCTCTCCCGTAGCACTGAACACTAAACTAACTCGTCAGTTCAGTGGGGGTTGGATAGCGTCAATGCACCCGTGATTGCGCGGTCGGACTGCTCCTCCAGCGCCTGTCATTTCCACCGTCGGCAAGGATCCCTGGGGCTCACCTGTGTGCTTTGATCCCCTACATTTGATTTTCCCCGAAACGACTGGAGATCCAAGCACCTTTGACTCGCTGTAAGCCGAACAGGTCCAGAACTTGAATGCTTACCTTTTTTCCGGAGGGGTTCAATTGAGGACCACCGCCTTCGTTGCATCTCGCCGTGAGCAACCTCACTGTCTCTCACCCAGTCGGTCACCTCAACATGGCTGTCTGGGAGACTGATGACGAACACGGCGGCCCGGTTGCCGCCACCGCGCTGCCCACCCCACGAGATACACCACACAGAACACCATCGCGAAGTTCGAGAAAGTCACGACGCTCAGTTACCCCTCCGAACGGCAAGAAGAGCCCCTCACCACCCCCGGTACCCAATGAAAAGAGCTCGAAGCGGTCCTCGAGAAACATCACCAATGAAGATAACATCAGCGTCCTCGACCCCCGCCGTTTTACACCAACCCTGCACGCTAACCTGGTAGCCGAAATCCTTAACTTGCGACGCGACCAAGAGGAGAAGACGAAGCTCATTGAGAATCTAGAGGTGTCGTTGCATGCTTCTCGCGAGGAACAGGAATCACTTCAGGAATCGGTAGCCACCACCACCAAGGAAAGCAGGTCCTTGAAACGTCAACTTGCTCTGCTCGAAGGTGGAACCTCTTCTGCATTGGGCGAACTTGCTCGTGAAAGGGATGAGGCCGTCGACTCCATCACAGAAACGAAGAAAAGACTTGAGGCCGCTCAGAAGAAAATTCGAAGTCAGGAGGAAGCCGAGCAAAAGATTCACGACCTCTGGTCCCAAGACAAGGATTCCTGGGAAGAAGAGAAGCGCAAGTATGAGCGCAGAATACATGTTGCGGAGAGCCGCTTGAAGGTGGTCCTCGATGAGGTCACCGCCTACCAGGCTGCCCAGGCCAATGGCCATGCCGCTGAGAGCGACATGGAAGACAACAATGATGCCGCCAGTGTCCGCACCATGAGTATGACAAACAGCGTTCGATTTTCCATGCAACAAAGCCCTGGCAAGGTCAATAACGTCAACTCTCTCGCCGATGAGCTGAACCTCGATGGCGACGATGACTGGCAAACCGATGATGGTGGACGTGAGAGCGCCTTGTCTTTCCATCGCCACACAAGAAACATGAGTCGTGAAAGCGTACTCTCCAGAATCCACCGACGAAACCAAAGTCTCGAAAGCCCTCAGCGCCCTGGAAGCGTTACGCGAGGCAGACTCTGGATGAACCAGCCTGTCTTGGAGGCCCTGGAAGACGGGATCCAAGAGGACGACGAGGATTTGATGCCACCGCCTCCGCCACCAGCCCCGAAGGTAACCTACACCGATACTGGAATTCAATTCTCGCCCCCGCCGTCGCCACAGCTGGAGCCGGTCAAGCCGTCTACTCCTGAAGTTCCGGCCAAGATGGAAGAACTCACCAAGCTCGATGAGCCCGTCAAGGCTGAGAAGCCTGCTGAGGTCGAGTCCGTCCACCGTGAGTCGGAAATTGAGGCGATCGAAGCAAACCAGCGACGCAAGCGTGTGCAGATCAACCGTCCCTTGTCTATCGAGCCTCGTCCATACAACCACATGGTCTCGGCCGGATCTCAGACTGTCGAAGAGCCCCTGAGCCCACCCAAGACGCCCAAGTCGCCTTACAGGTCCACGACACCCCCTCCTCCTGAAATCCCCGTCACAGTCATGGCATCATCTTCCACTCAGACCGACTTCCCCGAGCCCGAGCCTGAAGAGAAGCCGCAGCCTCTGCCGGAGCTGAAGCCCGTTCAGGAGCTGCTCATCCCCAGCATCAGCATCATCCCGCCGACGAGCCGTCCTACCACGCCCAGGGAGCCTAGATTGCCGCAGTACACGAAGGATTTTGGCTGCCAGGTGTCTATCATTGCGTCCGCGCCAATGAAGTCAACTGCTGTGCAGACCGAAGAGATCCTCGTCGACAAGCGCTTGGCCAATCTCCCCGCGCACCTGCGACCTTCCGCAATCTCCTCCAGGCCATCATCTCCCAACATTGCTACTGCCATCACGACGGATGACCCTCGCCACTTTTCGCCCGTACCAAATCACCTTCCCCCAAGGAACCCCAGAAGACTGGCTACCAAGCGCAGTCTGACGGATATGCCTTCGTCTCCACCAACTTCGCCCATGTCGCCCATGTATGACATGGACACCAAGGATGCCTACCCTGGCAACAACGATGATGGGCCTCTTTCTGGAAACAAGGCACCCATGCGACGCCCGCACCGTATCAGCAGCCTTTTCGCCGGTTTTGATGAGCACAGCTCTGACGAGCAGGATGAGTTTGCCGATGCGGATGTCAGCGACTCGGAGTACCGCACCGTTCTTACTGCCCCTGGCATGAGAATGACGGATTCCAGAGCTTCCAACCGTACATCAGTGAGCACATTTGCTGCCTCGCCGGCATCGCCAGAGCAGACTTTAAAGAAGTCTGCGATTGCCCGAGGCGCGGTGCGTTCTATGGGGCCTGAGAGCTATGGATTCGGCCAGGAGAACAAGGAGATGGGTTCCAAGAAGCCGCCCATGAAGTCTTCGGCACGTGGCGGATACGACAGATCTAACGCTGGTCCTTCCAGCCGACCTAATGGTATGCGCAAGGCCGCCTTGATCCAGAGCGGCATCTCGAGTCACCAGGGCCGTCCTAGAAGCCCTAGTATTCCCGAGGCTCAGCCTCCCTTCCCTATACCCACGCGAGCCAGCTCGAGGAGGCCACCATTCAGTGCTAGCGCGCCGAGTGATGGTCAGCGAAGCCCGACGAAGATGGACGCTCCCTGGCACCGCCGGGGCATTGGCCGCAGCCACTACCGTGCCAACAGCATTCGCAAGACTCGTTCCGCCGCCGCTCTGCCTAGGACGCAGAGAAACAGGAGGCACGGCAGTCGATCGCCGCCGCCGATCCCCCAGCACGCGGAGACCCCGGAAAGCCCTGGCCTTCCCCCTCTTCCGTACAACGACATCACCAGCCCCAGATACGACACGAGCTCCAATTACAGGTCGCACAGGTCTCGCCTGTCTACGAACACAGCTCAGACTGCTACCACCGACCTCGCTTCTGTCGGCGGTGTCTCGCAAAGCGCGGTGTCCAACGGCGCCACTTCCAACGCAGCATCCAGCGGTGCTGCCTCTAACGGCACCAATGGCACGGCCCAGGCCACCGGCGTTGTCGATGCCATTGCGCAGACCATGGTTGGCGAGTGGATGTTCAAGTACGTCAGGAGACGCAAGTCTTTCGGTGTCTCTGATGGCGGCAAGGACGATTCCAGCAATGACCGCCACAAGAGATGGGTCTGGCTGGCCCCCTATGAGAGGGCCATCCTCTGGAGCAGCAAGCAGCCCAACTCTGGCAATGCTCTCCTGGGCAAGCCAGGACGCAAACGTGAGTGCTCCCTCTATCTTTGATGGCCTACACATACTAATTTGAACTCAGTCACAATCCAATCTGTGCTAGATGTCAAGGACGACAACCCCCCGCCCCGCGGCCAGGGCAATGTTTTCAACCGATCCATCCTGATTTTGACGCCGCAGAGAGCATTGAAGTTTACAGCCACGACATCGGAGCGACACTATGTGTGGTTGACTGCGCTGTCCTTCCTCGCCCACTCGACCCAGGCGCTTCCCGAAATCACACCTTCCCCTCAACCCGTGAAGGAGACTACGGTACCGGACTTTGAAATGCCTCAACCCAACAGGCGAACTGGCATCCGTGATTCGATCCGACTGACAAAGAGCAAGGCCCCGATAATCAGAGACGCAGCACCTAGCGTACCAAGTGTCCCCAGTATCCCCAGCGTGCCTAGCGTCCCCAGTATTCCCTCGTCTCGTGTTGGCGACAGCGGCAACTACAGGCAGCAGGAGCAATACGCTCCTATGCCGAACATCAACAATAACAACACCAATACCAATACCCATCAGCGCGAGCGGTCAGAGCGGTCAATTGATGCGGCGGAACCGCCCTTCATCCCTCGCTTCACTGAGCGTGGAGAGCGTGGAAACCCGACAGGTGTTCATGGGCGCAAGCGCAGCAACACTGGCGGCCACGTCCCGCCACCGCTATCTTTCCGCGGCTTCTCCGGACCTGGCAGCATCGGGCAGCACAGCTACACCAACAGCAACGCCGGCAACAGCGTGGGCACGGCCGGCTCATCAGACATCTACCAGTCTCACCAGTCCCAACCCTCCACCGGCGGGGCACCGAGCTGGCCCATGAGCACCGCCGGCTCCCAGCGCACATCAGAGGCCTCGTCCCGCCCGGGTGCCAACTTCTTTGATGCCATCGGCACGGTTCGCATGGAGGCCTTCATCAGCCCGCTGGCCTACTCCCGCTTCGATGGCGACCCCGACGAGCACGAGGAGTACAGGTACCGAGCCCGCAGGCGAAGCAAGGAGCTCCGCCGCCGCCAGAGCCGCAGCCGTCACCGCGACAGCTACAGCTCGCGCGGCACCCGCACCACCGACGGCTACTACAGCCGCATGGGCACAGAAGATGACTTCTTCCGAGACGACCCGTTCAAGGGTTTCTAAAGTTGTCGATGAAGGAATCTTCTCTAGCCATTTTCTTTTACACTCGTCTCGTAGCGAAAGGTTTTCAGCTGGAGCGCTCGGGGTTGCCATTCATTTCGATTACCGATACCCATTATGTACTGTTTCTTCTTGTATAACGTAGGGCGGGCGAAAGGAGGGGGATACACAAAAAAAGAAGGGAGACGTGAGGGTCGCCTTCTGTGTTTGGAGTTGGGGAAAGGGGCAACGGCAAGATGGCCGCTGCTGCTGACCGATTAAGCTTATGTCAGGGAAGACATTTGCCATGTTTCCGGTCCAAAACATGGATGGATAGGCATCGTGATGGAGGATGCCTGGCGGGAGGAGGAATAGATGTAAGATGTAGCCGATCCCAAGCAGGGAATTGGTGCTGGAACTTTGCTAGTGTATATAGGTCCCTTGCGGACGATTCTTGCTAAACAATTGAATACCGTGAAATAAGTTAGTCTTGTTGGGTTCGGTGTGACATTGAATTTAAAGAAATGTTGGCATCACAGTACCTCAGAAGCTGGCGTCTTACACAGGGACCTCTGACGGCGATGGTGTGGGACCCCGCACCGACCCCACCAAGAAATTTCACCCCTCTGTTGCCCAGCCCAAGCTCCGTACCGCCCACCTGCCGCCTCGTCACAACCACCCTCCCCATCGGTCATCCACAGTCGTTTACATCTTCTCCAGCCGCCAGAAGCTCCCCACGACCAATCTTCAACCACCCTTCGTTGATATCTTTAGAGGCTGCTACCCACGAACGCACGGCCGACTGCGCAATCTGTCTTCCCAGCGTACCCCGCCATCCGACGGCACATCCCACCGCCAGCTCACGAGCGCCGAGCAGAGAGACCACTCTCCCACGCCCTCGGCCGCAACCCATCCTCCATCTCGCACGCTGCCCATCCCCCCTTCCTCTCACCCGGCCACACAACCGCCACCATGGACCCCGCCGAGACCCTCGAGCAGATGCAAACCCGCCACCGCAAGGAGCAGCGCGACCTCGTCGGGCGCATCACCTCCAAGAAGAAGAACGCGACCAAGAAGACGCGCAAGGGCGTCAACGACGAGTGCGCCGACATGGAGCGCCGGCTGAAGGAGAAGCAGGCCGAGGAGCTTGCCGCTCTCTCCGGTGGCGACGGAGCCCCCGGGCCCGAAGAATCGGGAGACGAGAAGGATGCCGCCGATGACGAGGAGATTGCGGACAAGCTTGCGCAGACGACGATTTCCAAGCCCGAGACGACGACGACAGCGCCCGAAGAGACACAATCAGCAGGAGGAGGCGGTGGTGGGGGGAAGAAGCGCAACCGCCAAAAGGAGCGGTTGGCGCGCCGCGCGGCGGAGGTCGAGGCCGCGGCCGTCAAGGCGGAGGAGGAGGCCGCGAACATGACGGACCACCGCGGCATCGAGAAGACGTACATGCTCAACGAGTTCAAGGCGCACTCGCTCTCCGAGAAGGAGATCGCGCCGGACGGGCACTGTCTCTTTTCCGCGGTGGCGGACCAGCTGCAACAGAAGGGCATCCCGCTGGCCGGTGAGGGGGAGACCAGCAAGCCGGCGCTGCCGTACAAGATTGTCAGGCGGCGCGCGGCGGAGTGGATGGAGGCGCACCCGGACGACTTTGCGCCGTTCCTGGAGGAGGGGCTGGAGGGGTACGTGAGGAAGATCCGGGACACGGCGGAGTGGGGCGGGCAGCTGGAGCTGGTGGCGCTGGCCGGGGTGTACGGGGTCGAGATCCGGGTTGTACAGGACGGGCGGACGGAGAAGATCGGGGAGGGCGGCGCGGCGGGGGAGGAGATTTGGTTGGCGTACTACCGGCACGGGTACGGGCTCGGGGAGCATTACAATTCTTTGAGGAAGACGGCTACGGCTACGGCGACGACGGCGTAGAGAGAAACATCTGCTCATGTGTGTGGGTGGCATGTTTAATGTATTAGATGTGGTTGTGTCTACGGTCATCCTCCCTTTTTTTTCTCAGCGGCTCCAGACGTGGATCCAGTCGCGGACTGTGCCGTCCTCGTTCATGCCTGCCTGGTGCGTCCTGGGCGGTTTGATGAGCTCGAGGCGTCTGAGGCCGTTTGCCGCGTCGAACGGGGGCACGATCACGGTGTCTGTCGGGTCTCCCTTCTCCGTGGAGGAGGAGAACTCCAGGGCGTCGCCTGGGCGGGCGAGGAGGGCGAGGTAGATTTCCGGGGTGAGGCCCCATGGCGGGCCCGGGGCGGAGAGGGGCTTGCCGGAGGGGAACTCGAGGCAGACCAGGCGGCCGTGGGGGGATAGCAGGGAGGTCATGCGGGTTGCCCAGTGGGGACGGGCCGAGGGTGGCAGGGCACAGAGGAACTTTTTATTCACATTAGATGGAGTGTTTTTATGGTGTTGGAAAGACAGAGTGAAGGCTGAGTGAGTTGGTGGGCGGGCGGCGGAAGCTCACAGTGTAATCAAAGACCAGATCAAACTTCTTCTCGCGGCCCCATTCCTCCAGCCACGCGTCTGAGAAGAAATCGCCCGACAGCCAAGTCACGGTGCCGGGGCCGACTCCGTTCGGTTGACGGGCCGAGCTGGCATCGGAAGCCCCGGCCTTCTCGTTCTCGATCGCCTGGGATATGGCGGTGGCGGAGAAGTCGAGGCCGAGGACGTCGTAGCCGAGGCTCGCGAGGAGGAGGGCGTCGTGGCCCTTGCCGCAGCCCGGAACCAAGGCGGTCGGCTTGCTTGGGGCGTCTGGCGGCGGGGGAGGGACGAGGTCTGGGCGGGTGGTGAGGACGTCCTGCAGGGCGAGGGAAGGGCCGCCGCGGTCCCAGGGGGTGAACTTTTCTTCCCAGAAGGCGGACCACTTGGGCCCGTGGGTTGAGAGGGGGGCGTTGGAGAAGGCGTCGGATAGTTTGGAGGACATGGTTTTGTGAAGGGTGGGATGAACGGGTGTGAGGTGAGTATCCGGGCGCGGGCGTGTGTAGATACCGTTGTTTGGCGGGGTCGATGATAAGACGCTGATGGTGATTTGGGCTAGATGCAGAAATCAAAACCAGAAGTCAAACAATAAGAACAGAATGAAGAACGTAGACAGCCGGCTTGTTGCTGACACAAGTCGCCCGGAAGAGAAGCCGAATGAAGTCATGAAAACCCCAAGGAGGCCGGAGCCGAGACGTCCTTAGTCCCCGAAGAACCCCGCGATAGAAAACTGCCCCGCGTTTTTGGGAGGACGGAGATAGGGATCCCTGTCGCCGATTTTGCGTGTTAGGCTGTCTACCTCTGGCACGCGGCACACACACGCGCCAGTGCGCGCAGTAACGGCCTTCCTCCTCCGGAATAGAGGAAAAAGGGGACGTTTACCCCAGACTGCAAGGTACACAATGCCTCTCTCCAAGCCATTCCGCCTTCCGAGGCTGTATGACGTCTGACGCAAGGTACCGGAAGGGGAGGAGGTTGTGCGTTGTGAGTGCTACAGCGCTGCTTCCCCACGGTGCTGTACTCCCGTGTGTCACTCTGAAGGCGCGTGCTCCAGCTGAGGTGCTGCCCCTCAGGCCCCCCTCCTCCTCATCTTCCCAAGGTTCCTGTGTCATTGGATGGGCTTGCGATGAAAAGGGGGCTTTGGTGTGCTTATCGCTCTGGCCGTCCCGGTGGTGGGTCGGGTGTCGCCGGGATATTCCTCGCTGGAGCATGACGCTTTTGGGTGACCTGAATCGCTGCAGACTTGGAATGGACGGACAGCTGCTGACCGCTCCGAGTTGATGTTATTGTTGGGGGAGAGCTGAATGGCGAGGTGCGAGAAAAATTGCAATTGAAGGGATGGGATTGGTCGGGCTTTTGCAGAGTGCAAACGCGGTAAGGCGACCTCGAATGCAGTCACTCCATGTAAGTAGGAAGGTACGTACGTAGGGTTGAGGGTGCTTTTGCTGTGCGCTGCAGCAAAACTTACCCCTCCAAAAGCCCACCTTAGGCCGGTGCCTTTTTTTTTTCTCGCCTTATCTTATCGCAATCCCCGATCCCGGCGCATTGGTGCTGTGACTCTACGGCACGCCCGCAGCAAGCTTGACCGAAATTTTGATCCCGTTTCTTTTCCCTTTCCCAAGGTTTTACCAAACCCACACACAAACATCTTCCTCTTCACTTCTCGTTCCGGTCGCCTCAATTGCAGTCGTCGTTGCTCCACGTTACTCTCCAAGAACCCAATTCATCTTTCAACTCAAACATCTGTCAACATGGCTGGTTCTAAGGGCAAGGTCTGCCTCGCGTGCGTATAACCCCGCCCCCGCGCTCCGCGCAAAAAAAAGAGTCATTCGCAGGACTGACACCGTGAACCCACAGGTACTCTGGAGGTGTATGTCTCTTCACCAATCCCCGATCACGACGCGAAGTCGGGAATCGACGTCAAGGGACTCAATGCTAACTAATTGCTCAAGCTCGACACCTCCACCATCCTGGCATGGCTCCTGGAGCAGGACTACTCCGTCGTGTGAGTCGTCCCACCCCCGCCAACTCTCTTGGGAGCTCGCGAAGCCTCCGCCCCGCAGGAGCTGTTCAAGCTGACCTCGATCTCACAGCTGCTACCTCGCCAACGTCGGCCAGGAGGAGGACTGGGCTGCCGTCGAGAAGAAGGGTATGGACTCCGTCCCGTCGCTCTCTTGTTGGAAACGTCTGTGCTGACACCCCGCAGCTCTCCAGATCGGTGCCGAGAAGGTATGACGATGCGCAACAAGGCCCTAGGCTGAATTGGCTTCTGCAAAGGAGGGTGTACACTAACATGCGCCCAAAGATGATCATTGACGACCTCAAGCGCGAGTTCGTTGAGTGAGTGTGGCCCAAAAGCCTGTCTCAATGCGGTACGGATCGCTAACGCTGTCTAGGGAGCTCTGCTGGAAGGCTGTCCAGTGCAACGCCATCTACGAGGACCAGTACCTTCTGGGTATGACCGACGCGATCTTCTTCACGATAGACAAACGCTAAAGAGGTCTTCAGGAACCAGCTTGGCTCGTCCCATCATTGCCCGCGGCCAGATGAGG